GATTATTTTAAACAATGGATTAATGCGAATTACTTGTTAATAAGAGCGAGAGCAAAATTGGAATTTTTAAGAAATTGTAAAAATGGCGATATTTTTCCTACACATTTAGAAGGTTTTTGCCGCATTAAATTTAACGTTTTTCATCACAGATCGATCAGAAGACTAGATAGTATGTTGTACAAATTCAAAACAAATGCGATGAGCATTGAAATCTTTGATTTGCATAGACAGGTAGAGTCATTACAAAATAGGATTTTTCATCTCACCAGCGGGTTATTTAATCGTTTACCTGTACTCGCGTGGAATAGAATTTTCGAACATCATAACATTGCTTTTAAAAATTGCCACAACAGATTGGTTACTGCACACGAAAAGAAATTCAATTGGCTTAAGAGAAAACAACACTATAAGTATATCAACAGCATCAAACCTATAGATATACATTGTTCTTTACATTTTGAAACTTCACAACCGACGAAAATATCACAAAATTCTCTCAGGGCAATCACTAATGATGCCAAGGAGATCAATATACACATAGAAGCCAATAAATTTCTCAATGATACAATTAACCCTTTGGAAAATACTAATAAAAAATGGTTTGTTAATCTTTCCAACACAGACATTCCGCCTAACGTTTCTAATCTGTTGCAAATGGGTGATAAATTCTGTCTTCCGAATATTAGTAAAAAAACAGCGATACATGAATTCATCAAGGACATAGAGAGTAATAGCAAACGAAATAATATTAATAATCTCACAACGATCAGAAATATCGCGGTTCCAAAATTTGCACAACTTCTGAACACGAAGGATAAAAATGACGTAAGTCAACAAAAATTACTTGGTGCACACAGAGATTTAATAAAATTTTGTAAAGACAATCCGAATGTTCTATTCACACGCGCGGACAAGGGTAATGCTACGGTGGCAATGGAAAGATCTCATTATATTAACAAAATGGAAAACGTTTTAAAAGATGTCAACACTTACACTATTGTTAAAAAAAATCCGTGCAAAAAAATAGAGAACGATTTGAATGATTTGTTGAAGAGATGGCTTAAGGAAGATTATATTTCAAAAAACGAATATTATAAATTACGTTGTAGTGATTCTCTCCTTCCAAAAGCGTATGGATTACCTAAAATCCATAAGGAAAACTATCCAGTTAGAATCATAGTTTCATCGGTTGATACAGCTCTATACTCGCTGGCTTCGTTTTTACAAAACACCTTACGAACTAGCCTACCCAAAGCGAAAAGTCATATTAATAATAGTTTTGATTTGTACAGCATATTGTCTGGTAAAAAGATTGATGAGAATGATAGGATGTTTTCCTTGGATGTGGTGTCTTTGTTTACGAACGTTCCTCTGGATCTTGCGATTGACGGTATTAACGATAGATGGGATCACATTGGAATAAATACTAAAATACCGAAAAACGAATTTTTGGGGGGTATAAAATTCATATTGACTTCTACATATTTTACATTTGATGACATAATTTATAAACAGACGTTTGGGACCCCTATGGGGTCACCGTTATCACCAATTATTGCAGACCTGGTTATGCAAGATCTTGAGGATACAGTTCTCAAAGCGTTGAATTTGGAATGTTTGTTTTATTTTCGTTATGTGGATGACATAATAGTGGCCACCTCTATGACTAATATGACTCAGATTGTGAATAATTTTAACAACTATCATGAAAGACTTAAATTCACGGTCGAACAAGAGGTTAACCATAGCTTGAATTTCTTAGATTTATCACTTAAAATTATTAATAACAAAATATATATAGACTGGTATCAAAAAGAAACCTTCTCAGGAAGGACGTTATCATTTTATTCAAACCACCCATTATGCCACAAAATTGGAATAATATATAACCTTGTAGACAGATGTCTATTGCTATCACATCCACTATTTTTTAATAAAAATTTGGAGTTAATTATTAATATACTCAGAAGCAATGGTTACCCTCTTGATCTGATTTTTAACAAAATTAATCATCGGATAGAACACATCATATCTAAGGGGAGCATTATAGAGAGACAGGCCAACATAGAAAGAACAAAAAGTATAAGAAATGACTCGGTCAATAAAAAATTCTTTGTCATTCCGTATATAGATGGGATCTCAGAAATGATTGTTTCCTCGGTAAAAAATAAAAATTGTATGGTAGGGTATAGATGTCTCAACAAACTGGATAATATTATTAAAGCGCAGAAAGATAAAACTAAACATCCATGCAATTCGAATGTGGTTTATAAGATCAGTTGCAATAATTGTAATGCATCTTATGTAGGCCAAACAAAGAGGCAATTGCAGACGCGAATAAAAGAACATAAAAATAATATTAGGTTGGACTCAACGAAACATTCAGTAATTTCTGAACACATAATAAATGAACATCATACTTTTAATTGGGACAATGTTAAGATCATGGACAACGAAAATAATTATTATAAAAGACTCATTTCTGAGATGCTACATATCAAGGAACAAAAAAATGGACTAAATTTAAACAAAGATACTGAGTTACTTAGCGAGTCGTATTTTGATATTTTGGATATATTAGCGAACAAGAAATAATAATAGGACAAATAGGACATTAACGAGTAAAACATAGATATTAGATCATATATAAACACGCACGCTCTCCGATCAAGTAGAGTTTAAAATGAGCTGTCTTTCTGTATTGTTGGTTTGTTATGTGTCATCCTTAATAACTGTTAATAAGTAGCAAAATTGTCAAGAAGAACGATGATAGGTAAGCATACTACCAATTGTAGGGGATACATATTATAATTTGGACATACGTTGATCGGTAATTTTTTATTAATCGCAGCGCCTACGGAACGGGTTAATTTCTCGCATATTAACGATGAAACTATCCGAGATCTGAACAAAATCAGGGATCATATCGAGGCGAACATTGTTGGACAGGACGGATTGAAACACGCGTTAATTGCTCAAAAACTCTTGATTCTGAATAACTATAATTAAATTTCGATATTATGTGAATTGTAAGAATTTATATTTCAATAATTATACTGAAGAAGACCGCGTGCGGTCGAAACGTTTATAGAATGAGTGTAATTTGCGTTAGTTTTAATATAATGACTGTAGTTTTATAATTTATACATGTAATAAATGGTAGTTGACTGAACATCTCGAATATTCAGCTCGATAAGTTGGCCTTATATTTATCACTAAGCTATACTAACTTTTCAATTTTTATACAAATATAATATTATTTTCAATTTTGTTTAGGTTCAATTTTTAAGTTATTTTATTTAATAAATTTCAATTTAGTATATGTCCACTCAGCATGCTTATTCAAAAGACATTCAGAAGATATCTTCGGGATATCTTTAGGGTACTAAATTAGAAATAATAAATTTAAGAAATAAAATAACTTAAAAATTGGACCTAAACAGAATTGAAAATAATATATATTTGTACAAAAATTGAGAAGTTAGTACAACTTTTTAAAAGCAATAGAATTATGCATTTTATATAAATAAATTTACTCATACAACATGCATATTCAAAAGACGTTTAGAAGATATTCCGAAGATATCTTCTGAACGTCTTTTCAATATGCATGCTGTATGGGCAAATTTGTTAATATAAAATATATAGTTCTATAATATACATTTGCATTACATGTAAGTGATGAATAAAATCTACATATATTGGTTATTTATAGTTTATAAATAGTATAAGTTTAAACATATTCAAACAATTTGCTATATATAAAGTTTTAACAAAATTAAATAAATCAAATAAAGTAGGCCAACTGAACGAGCAAATAAATAAGGTGTAAAAATTTATTAATAGTTAAATAATTAAATTAACATTCCGTTACAAAAACGATATAAATTGTAAACGTTTCGACTGCACTACAGTCTTTATCAATACATAAAAGTTAAATATTAAAATACAAAGTTAAATGTTAAAAATACAAAGTTAGTTAAATATTAAAATATAAAATTAAAACGATTCTTCGCTGTTGACCAATAGATGTGCAAGGCGATTGGTCTGAGATGCCAAGTTATGCGACATTTAAACATGCTGCGGATATAATACGCGAATTAAATCAATGTCAGAGAAAATTAAAAAATCTTTCAACTTACATTATCGTTTTAACAAGTCCTTCTTCCCGATATTTCATGTGTGTGTTGCGAAGTCTGAATAACAAATGTCGAAATAGAGAGCGTGATGTATTTATTTATTACCAATGTTTTTTCTAAACTATGATTCAGCAACTTTTTTAAGTATGTCAAAATAACTACTGTCTAACAATTCGGTGTCTGTATTTAAATTAATTCCATTTTTCTGTTCTTTAATGTGGATCATTTCAGATATTAGCCTTTTATGGTAATTCTTTTCATGATCCATAATTTTAATATTGTCCCAGTCAAATGTATGTTGTTCGTTTAGAATGTGTTCCGTGACAACCGAATGTTTAGCAGAGTCTAATTTAATATTATTTTTATGTTCTTTAAGTCTCGTTCCTAACTGTCTTTTTGTCTGTCCGACATATGTGGCGTCACAATCGTTGCAATTCAATTTATAAATAACATTAGAATTCGTGGGGCAATTATTTCTGTCCTTTTGAACTTTTATGAAGTCATTCAATTTTTTAATGCAACGATATCCTACCACTACGTTAGGTCTTCTTATTGCTGAAGCAACTTTCTCAGATATTGATTCTATATATGGTATGACAAAATATTTAATGTTAGTATTAGTATTATTAGTATCTGTTGTATTGTTATTATTAGGCTTGTTAAATTTCTTAGTTGACAGATTTTTTAATCTGCGTTTTATTTCTGTGAAAATTAGATCAATAGGATAACCGTTGGATAGCAAAATGTTAATAGCTTTCTCTATATTTTTTTTGTGAAATTGCGGATGTGATAGTAATAAAGCTCTATCTACCAAGTTATAAATTGTTCCTATTTTATGACAAGTCGGATGATGTAAAAAAATGAAAGCAATTTGCAAGAGAATACGCACTTTATAATATTTAGTATTCCCTAAAGGCATGTTACTTGAATCTCGTTCCCTTTGTATCGAATCCCTTTCTAAAGAATGCATATTAGTTGAATCTTGATAATATGCCCTTTTTAAAAAAAAGAATAATATATTTTATATACAATATATATACATTGGTCAAAAAAGTTATCGCAACACGCAATTAATATCAAAATTTCGCAAACTCTACGGAGTAAAATAAATTTTTTTCGCAAATCTTATCCAAATTTTCGTTTAAATTTGCAAATGTAGAATCGTACCATAAAAAAACTTATCTTTTAAAAAAAAAGATAAACAAGATGCCAAGTCCATTAATATAAAATAAAAAGAAATAAAAAGATTGTAGTTAAAAAAACTGGGCGCGCTGCTAAGTTTCAAAATTACAATGCACCTTAAAGTAACATTAATTAATTTAAACACAAAACATATTTTAACTGCAATGAGTTTAAAAATAACAATTTAATTTTAATATCATTAGAATATTATTTAGCATCTTAAAGTAACATTAATTAATTTAAACACAAAACATATTTTAACTGCAATGAATTTAAAAATAACAATTTAATTTTAATATCATTAGAATATTATTTAGCAGCGCGCCCAGTTTTTTTAACTACAATTTTTTTATTTCTTTTTATTTTATATTAATGGACTTGGCATCTTGTTTATCTTTTTTTTTAAAAGATAAGTTTTTTTATGGTACGATTCTACATTTGCAAATTTAAATTTTTACTGATTCATTATACGACTATATATATGTCTGCAATTTTAATTTTCCACTGGTACAAGTTTCTACTTTCACTTGTCGCAATTTTTTTTTATTTCATTACTTTTGTTACAATTGTACATGGGTTTATAATCAATAATTTTTCATACAATTCTATTGTACATGGGTTTGCAATGTAGGATTCTACATAAGTTTGCAATGGATAATTTTTAATACAATTCTACATGGGTTTGCAATGGTTAATTTTTCATAGGATTCCACATAGGTTTGCAATGGGTACGATTCTACATGGGTTTGCAATGGTTAATTTTGCCTAGGATTCTACATGGGTTTGCAATGATTAATTTTTCATAGGATTCTACATGGGTTTGCAATAGGATAGGATTCTACATGGGTTTGCAATAAATAATTTTTGTTAATGGCGTGCCCTTAACTGGTCGCCTTTTTTTACCTTTTTTTAAAGGTGAGTTTTTAGAGATTGTTAGCGATACCCGACGCGCACTAACGATGGTTGCGCGACAAATTGGTAATGAAGATTTCCCTCACAGAATCAGTAATCAAAAAATTAAAAGACGTGGTTTAAGATCGCGAGTTCAACATTTTTTTTCCAAATGTATGAATCATAAAGTATGCATTTTTTTCATACATTAGAAGAGGAAAATGTCGAAGTTGCGATCTTAAACCACGTTCACATAAACGTCTTCTAATTGTGTAATCACTGATCCTGTGAGAGAGATCTTCATTAGCAATTTGTCGTGCAATCATCGTTGGTGCGCATCTGGTATCGCTGATGCTGGTGATAATTGTACAAAAATGCATAGATAACTTTGATATGCCGTAACTCTGCCCAAAAAAATCGTACAAACTTTGCTTTTTTTAATTTGTACGAAAAAGTTCATATTTTACAAAAATTTGCAAATAATAAGATTTGCGAAAAAAATTTATTTTACTTTGTAGAGTTCGTCAAATTTTGCAATTTTTTGAAAAAAAAACACCTTACTTTTTGAAAGAGTGGAAAGAGGAGAAGAGGATGAAATCAAAATCAAACGAAAGTTTCTTAAAGTAGAAACTTCACCCTTTAAAACAAAAAAAATTTTTAATACGATAATTTTTTGCGGAGATACGCTTATTTGAATTTACGCAAAATTTTAATATTAATTGCGTGTTGCGATAATTTTTTTGACCAATGTATTGTAATCCTTTTCTTTTTTTCGTTCTTTTTGTCCTTTTCAATAGATTTATCTAAACATTTCTTCTCCGATGAAGCCTTGGTTTCAGTATTTTGTATACGTTTTATACAGTCAGATTTGTAATGTCCAGCTTTATGACAATTCCAACAAAAAGGTTTCTTTGGCTTAGATTTATTTGGGTTAAAATTCCTTTTTTTGTTTATATGAGAACATCGCAGTTTGTGGATTTGTTTTATTCCAATTAGTGTCCTGTAACAGTTTAGTTTTAACTAAATCACTAGTGATATCCGCATCTGAATGTTCAAGTGCCATGCACATAGGTTGATATGTGTCAGGGAGACCTAGTAACATAATAGCTTCTAGAAATTCATCAACCGGTTTATCTACAACACGAAGTTTTTCAGCGAGCGACATAACTTCATTGACATAGATTTCTATTGAAGTAAAATTTTCCAATCTTACGGAACATAGACTACGAAGAAGTCCCACACGTCGATTGAGTCCCTTATCTTCAAATGCATTTTCAAGTGCATTCCATGCCTGCTTAGCAGTTTCACACGTTATAAGGTATGAAAAGCAGCATTGATCAACCATGAGATTAATCTTCGAGAGAGCTTTCTCATCTCTTCGTAATTTTTCTTCGGTTGTCGTTCTATTTCCTTCGACGTATCCACTGATAGCACTTCACAAATTGTCATGCCGCAAATAATTCTTCATTTGAAATTTCCAGTTAATATAATTTTCTCGTCCTTTGAGCTTCGCAAAAGCGACCGAGAAGCCGGTTCTGTCGCCATGCTTTCGACGGATACGTACAAAAAAACAACAGACCACAGAAAAATAGATAAATTGTATATTTTTTTTCGACTTAAATTATATTCCCGGTATCTACCGAGACTGAGCCCATAACCTGTTGCAGGTATATCATGCAGAATGTGGAATGAATGGATAAACGACACTTTGTTCAGAGACAAGATATATAATCTGAGATAAACGAACGAGCAGACATACAAGACAAAGACTTATGTTAGTACCAAATAATACAATAAAAAAAGGGAGCAGCACCCAACACAGCATTAACAAGAAGCACTATCCATGAATTAATTGAGTTATAAAATGATAAATTCTAACACTGTTGATGAAGGAAGTTGAACGAATTGCAAAAGAGAAACACAAATCTCATCAAATTTCTATAATATCAGGTATATGTTGTTGACTCATTCTAATTAAATATTTAGAAGTTTTATTATAAATAAATGAACAAAATTAAACATTTTGTTTTCCGCACAAACTGAGCGTTTTTATACTTTAGGTTTGCAGAAAATTAATTACAAAATTGACATGTGATTCAAATGCATTTATCTCGTCATAAGGATATTGTAAGTGACAAATAAATACTTGCAAAATATTAATGTATATGTATATGACTAATATATCAGGAGACGCGGTAGTGTCTCCGGCCATGTTCAAACCCTAAAAGACCTTAAAAGACACTACAAGTCTCCTTATCCTGCACCATCAAAGTCCATTTTTGGGGGTGTAGAACTACTAAAATATAAAAAATTTTGAATTGCACGTAATATAACCTGAAAGGCGGCATCGCCACGAGTAATTTGAGCCAAAAAAAATAAAATCGGTCAAGCTGTTCTGGAGATACAAGCGGTCAAAAAGTGACGTTTTTCATGAAAAATGAAGTAACGTCGTCTTCTTCTTCTTCTTCTTCTTCTTCTTCTTTTTCTTCTTCTACTACTTCTTCTTCTTCTTCTTCTTCTTCTTTTTCTTCTCTGTCCGCATATAAATCTCTTCTCACCTTTCACTCACACCTCCCTCAACTTCCACCCACGCCTTTCCCACCCACGTCCCACCCCACCCCCACCCCCCCACCCCACCACACTCCCACCCCTCTTTCGCCTTTTTCACCCTCTTTCGTCCTCTCTTACCCTCTTTCACCCTCTTTCGCCCTCTCTCACCCTCTTTCGTCCTCTTTCACTCTCTTTCATTCTCTCTCATCCTCTTTCACCCTCTTTCATTCCCTCTCACCCCCTTCGTCCTCTTTCACCCTCTTTCATTCTCTCTCACCCTCTTTCGTCCTCTTTCACCCTCTTTCGTCCTCTTTCACTCTCTTTCGTCTCTCTCTCTCCCTCTTTCATTTTTTCTCACCCTCTTTTACCCTCTTTCGTCCTCTTTCACCTTCTTTCACTCTCTTTCGTCCTCTCTCACCCTCTTTCATTCTTTCTCACCCTCTTTCGCCCTCTCTCATCCTCTTTCGACCTCTTTCACACTCTTTCGTCCTCTTTCACCCTCTTTCGTCCTCTTTCACCCTCTTTCGTTCTCTCTCACCCTCTTTCGACCTCTTTTGTCCTCTGTCACCCTCTTTCGTCCTCTCTCACCCTCTCTCACCTCTTTCACCCTCGTACGTCCTTTCTCACCCTCTTTCGTTCTCTTTCACCCTTTTTCGCCTATCTCGTCTTCTCTTACCCTCATTCGTCCTCTCTTCACCCTATCTCCAAAAAATTATAAAAATGAAAAGGTCAAGCCATGTTCAAAAGAAGGTCCTCAAAAATTTAAACCTAGTCTGTACAATGAAAAATAATTACTCGTAATTCCAGAGTTCCAATTTGTTAATATCGAATAATGTATTTGCTTCAAGTAATGGCAGTAGAGTCTGTTGCGAACGCGCGGCTTGAACCGTGGTCCGACGCGAAGCTGCGACGAACGAGCATGCTCGGCCTTTTTAGGGCCGCGTCTCGCGCGCCGCCTCTCAAATCCTTCACCCGTTTTTTTTTTTTTTTTATTGGAAAGAAATCATAGGAATCTCATGAGAGATGTGATGGATGGACAATAGGATAATTGTTGAGTGGACTGTATCTTAATAGGGTGATCGCGCACCCATGTGTGCGCTGAGATTGATGATTTACGCAGGAAGCCGAATTGAAAAGAAGTCTTGAAGTTGATGAACAAAAACAGATCAATTTATTATTTTACAAGTCAGAAAGTCACCTGGACTTGACACAAACAAATCAAAGAAAAAAGAACAAAAACTCGATATGAGAATCGAAAGCGTTTGCTGTACACGTTTCGAAGCTCGCGATCACAAAAGAAAAAACTGTTTGTTCGATATCGACACCAATGTCTTTTGTCGCAAGAAAAAACAATGTCTTATTTGAAAGTCAC